TTTAGCTTAAGCTTAGCTTTAGCTTAGCTTTAGCTTAGCTTTAGCTCAGATTTAGCTTAGCTCTAGCTTAGCTTTAGCTTAGCTGCAGCTTAGCTGTAGCTTAGCTTTAGCTTAGCTGCTGCTCAGCTTTAGCTTAGTTTTAGCTCAGCTTTAGCTTAGCTTTAGCTTAGCTTTAGCTTAGCTTTAGCTTAACTGTAGCTTAGCTGTGGCTTAGCTTTAGCTTAGCTTTAGCTTAGCTTAGCTTAGCTTTAGCTTAGCGTACTGTTACTACTAATGCTGCTTCCCTAGGGGTTCCAACTCCTAGGTAGGGTCGCACTGGGATATTTTTTTCTTACTTCCACTTTTCGGGCGACTCACACTCGTACTTCCCTTTCGTCTTCATGCCACACTTTCGCTGTACTTCGAATATCCCGCGCCGGGTCAACGCTTTGCCTCCTCTGCGCGACCTAACTCTTGAGAAGGGCAGGTTTGAAGTCCGGAGGAAAAAGCATCTGGGTAAACCAAGACCGCCCAATCATGGAGAGGGCAGCTCGAAACTTCTGCTTTGGCCCGATGCACGTATTTAAGAAGGCGTGGGACATCCCATACACAGTCTCCCTGAGTGACGAGTCACCTTTTCTCGGTTTGGGTCGGAGGGAGCTGGTAGTGACCGCGCGCAGTTTCCCAGACAAGGTCGTTCGCGAATGGCATGGGGACTGGGCCACTTGGGAGGAGCTCCACAGCAGCGAGGAGGTAACGAACCTCACGAACAAGTGTGACTCACTCGCCGTGAAAGTCACGAAGGGCCTGAAGGGCCCCATGGGTCGGGGCAAAGGCCCTGGCCCAGAATAGGGCTCACAGAAGCCGTCCGGCACATTTTCATCGAGAGTTTCACAATCGAATTCTTTATTCACTTGTACATATGCACGTGCTGGGAGCAATGGCTCCGGAGACCCTGGCTTTCGAGGTGGGAATCTGCGCCCTTGCGGGAGGGGGGCCCTTCTGGGTTCCTGGAACGTGGAGGGGCTCACCGAGGCAAAAATAAAGGAACTCCAGGTTCACATGCAAGAGCTTTGTATTGATGTTGTGGCATTGCAAGAGACTCACAAGTACGACTCCGTGCACGATATTACAGACAAAAGTTTTCTACTGATCCAATCTGGGGACTCAGACGATCAGGAGGCCGCCGGCGTTGCCAGACATCCAGAAGACATCGTCGGCTTCCGGGTGAGTATCCGGAGGAGTATCGTCATTCGGAGGAGTATCGTCGGCTTCTGGATGGTTTCTGCCAGGATCATGTTCATCAAGTTGCGTGTCCATGGTGGGAAGCTTCCTATCTTCAGTGCGTCCGCTCCTCACAATGGCAAGCCCGTGGACGCCAGACGGGATTGTTACACAAAGCTGGGGGAAAAGTTATCTGGTGTATCTGGCCAGCAATGGGCAATGGTGTGTTCCAGAGCACTATGGCCAAATCGACTTCTTATTATGTTCCGGTGCGCGCCTGGAGTGCGTGACAGACGTCCGAAGTAACAAGATATAGCTCTCGCTTCACACCATATCTTGCTATTGTGCCACGCCCAGCTCGACATCGACGACGCTACCCAACCGTGCAGGCAGAAAGTAGATGTGCAGGCGCTCGCCCAAGCACCGTTCCAGCGAAGCTTCAACAACGCCTTCGCGGACTACATGGCAGCAGAGCGCCGGGAGGCCCAGTAGACGCTCGAAGAGCTGAACAATAGCATGGTCGACGCCTTCTCTGCTTCCGCTGCTGCGTCTGCCCCAGGCCCGGCAGGCGCACAGACGCCCGTGGATCAGCGACGCCACGCTGGAACTGATCGCAGCTAGGAACAGGGCCCAGGCGGGAGGTCATCTGGCACGCGAGAAGATTCTCAATGGCAGGATAAAAGATTCTGTGAAGAACGACAAGAGCATCTGGCTGGACAAGCGGCTCCACACCGGAGATTGGGACGAAGTTCGAAAGCTGCGCAAAGGTTCCACGGCCACGCAGGGACGAATGAAGGACAAGGGCGTCCTGTAGACAGCGACCTGAGAGCGCAAACTCTGGCTGAATATTTCGAGAACGTGCAGTGGGCAGTGAGCAAGGACTACGGTTGTCGACAACCCCGAGCCACTGGGGGACGCGGGCAAGGACGGCATGCCAGGTGAGTTCTGGAAGGCCGTGTGCGTGGCTGGGACGCCAGCTTGCCAGTGGGCCGTCTTTCTATGCAACCGGTGTTGGCTGGAAGCAGACGTGCCCGAAGCCTGGCACTAGGCGGTCCTTTCTGCAACATTCAAGAAAGGCGATTCTTCGGACTGTGCAAATTACCGACCCATATCCCTTCTGCCAATTGGGTACAAGTTGCATGCAATGATATTGCAATCGCGACTGAAAGAGGCAGGAGCCGAAGAACGCATACGGAACACTCAATTCGGCTTCCGATCTGGCCCCGGAATAACAGACGCTCTGTTCATGGCCAGGTGTGATCGAGAACACGTGGGACTCCGAAGCAGGCAAACTGATTATCCTCGCACTTGACTGGGCTAAGGCATTCGACAACGTGTCTCCCGATGGCTCGGTGCAGGCGCTCGTCCGCTTCGGTGCGCCCGAGAAGTTTGCATCGGCGGTCAAGGCCATATAAACTAACCGGAGCTTCTGCGTACGCGACGTGGGGTCCATGTCCGACTCAAGGCCGCAAGCGTTCGGGATATCACAGGGATGCCCGGTGTCGCCTTTTCTCTTCTCGATCGTGATGACCGTGCGCGGCGCGCGGCATGTGCGGCAGAGGCACTAATCCGATCTACGCCGATGACACATTGATTGTGGGTGTGACAGAACAATACGTCCGCTATCTCACGGAGAGCATCAGAGAGGCCGGCACCACTTACGGTTTATCTTTGAATTGGGACAAGCTGGAAGTACTGCCAGTTCGCTGCCAGACACAACTCCTCCGCCCTGACGGCCAAACGATCACCCAGAAGGATAACATGGGGTATTTTGGGGGGCTGCTCCACGCAGACGGAGGGAGCGGGGCAGAACTCTGTCGGCGCATCGGCATGGCGCGGAAAAGCTTCGATACGCTGTGCAGACTGTGGAGGATACGAAGATATGTCTGCCCAAGAAGGTCATGATGTTTGAAGCCTGTGTCGTTTCCAAGCTGTTGTACTGCCTGCACACACACACACACCCTCTGTTTGAACTAGGCAGAGAGATCTCGACTAGACGCCTTCTAAGCTCGGTGCCTGCGAAAAAACGCTGGCATCCCTCACTCCTATCTCCACCGGGTGTCCAACGCAGCCGTGCTGGAGAGGTGTGGCAGGAATCGTTTGGCTTTCATGTTAGCTTGCAAGCAGCTCGAACTGATGGGCAGGATCGCTTGTCTCCCAGACGACTATGAATCACGACGAACGGTATTCCAACCAGGGTCGTTCAACCTAGCCCGCCCTTTCGGCCCCGGAGGCGAGGCAGACCGAGGAATTCATGGAAGCGCAATGTGTTTAACTTGGCCTGCGCAGCGGCTGGTGGCCGAGACGCCTTGCAGGAGCTATGGCGGCACAGACCTGGCGACTGGCGCGGAGTCGCAAGGCGCTATTGTTCACAGCTGTAGCATTCAACAGATATGGATTGTTTGTCTGAATCTGGAGTGGACTGTCTCTGCTTATGGGGTGGTGGGAGAGCCACTCACATGGACTGCAACATCGTGAGCAGTGAGCCTGCCAGTGCTCTTTCGTCCTCGCCCTCCTCCTCCTCCTCCTCCCACTCGTCGTCCTCCCCCCCTTCGCCGCCGCCGCCGCCGTCGCCGCCGCTGTCGTCGCTGTCGGTTTTTGCACGACGTATTCTTGTTTCGCAGCCACCCCTCTGGTAGCGGAACTTGCTGTTTCACTTGTTTGCCAACGCACCTCTGACGTGCACGGTGCTTCTCTCTCTCTCTCTCTCTCTCTCTGGTGGTTTGGAATTGACCCAGCATGTCATGCGCAATCGGAGAAGAAGTCTACAAGGTGGCCAGCGCTGCAGCGGTAGCGCAATTCTTCGAAGGACCTGAAACGCTCTGGGAGAGACGGTGCCACTGCTGGACATGGCCAGGTGGTAAGCGGTAAACGAGGGATGGGGAAAGAGAACACAGGCCCACCCCTAGTCTGCCGACCGGCCGGGATGCCCGGGGGGAAGGCGAAGCTCACGGCGAGGACGACGTAGATAAGAGGAATGCGAAAATGACGGTACCCCCTTCTCCTGACCCCCCTCCTCCCCCCTTACTGGGGGGCAAAAGATGCCGGTACCGCTCATCCAGAACTGACGTCAGACATGTCAGCCAAAGCAGAACTATCGCGCAGAATTGGTGCAACACACGCGAATGTCACACGAAGTAGAAATCGATCAGCACAGAGTGGTTGTAAAATCAAAACGAACGTGCAGTTTTGAATCAATATGGATAATTCGAGCCGACAAGAGCAAACTTGATGACTTCCATGCACGGTTTCTCAAAAAAATGTCCGTTACATCTCCCTGTGCATCTCGGACTTCAAACAAAACAATATTGGAACGAAGTAGTGGCGAAGATGCGCTGAGCACCACACTCAGTGAGAGACAAACTGCACTGTATTCTAAAACTGCGGCCCTCCTCTATATTTTTTACGAATGCACACTCTCGATCCGCATTGAAACACCGAGCCACTGCGCTGGGATCTCCGCCGGAGGCGTGGAAGGCCACCGCATTCGTTCGCAACCAATGTGACGATCATTGGCCCTAGCGGTCCTTTACCTCCCACCCTTTCTCCACCCTCCTCCTGTCCCGCTCCTCCCCCCTTCCGTCCACGAGCGTCCAATTCATAACTTGTACTTCACCTATGCGCCGTTTGAGCGCCAGGCTTGACTGACTGATTGACAGCTGCTCCACGGACCTCTCCTGGGGCGCATTCTGACCAGGATTTCGGAGCGCATCCAGCCGTGGCGACGAGGGAAGAATAGCGGTACCGGCACCTTTTCCTCATCCGACCTCCCGCGTGCCGCCGTCGCCAAGCCCCTCCCCCCCGGGGGGGGATGTACAGCTTGGCGCGCCCGCCGCCAGACTGGGCGTCGGGGCTCCCTCGCAGCACCAGCCCCAGCGAGGCCTGCAGGAGGAGCGGCGGCGGGGAGGCGGGGAGGAAGCGGAGGCAGGGCAGAGGGGAGGAGGGCAGAGGAGGGGAGGAGGGGAGGGGAGGGGAGGCAAGCTAGGTGCGCTCACGTCATATCTGACATCCTACCCCTCCCTCCCATCCCTTGGCGCAGATCCCCTCTCTACTCGCTCAGTCGGATGTCGAGCAGGGCAATGATCCCGAAAGGGTACGCGATGCATTGTAGAGCACGGCATGGCATGGCGTAGAAGAGCACCGCAAAGCGGAATATCAACCTAGCATTGCATTGCATGCAGTGGCATGGCACGGGAAATGACGCCAGCGCTGCAGCGGGAGCATGAGTCGAAACGAACGGAAGCGCGGAAATGAGGCCAGCGCTGCAGCGGGAGCACGATTCGGAACGAGCGGAAGCACGGGAATGATGCCAGCGCTGCAGCGGGAGCACGTTTCGGAACGAGCGGAATTCGTAGTAGATTTTGCTTATTCCCCCCCTCCTCCTCCTCCTCCTCCTCCCCCTGCTGCTGCTGCTCCTACTCCGCCCCAGCCGCTGGCGATGTAGATTAAGAGGCCGCACAGGCGCCGCCGTTCCCGCAAAGCGGAGATTGCAGGTGAAAACCCAAATCCGGGGAAACCTGTGTAAAAAAAACATACGCGGGGGGGGGTCGGCCACTTCAAACCGCCATCAGGGGAAGAGGGAGAGTGTGAAAGGGGGGGGGGGGAAGGAGGGGAGGGGAGAAGGGAGGGCCGGAACAACAAGGCACCCAAGCAGGGGGGGGGAGGAGGGGAGAAGAGGAGGGAGGGGAGGAGGGAGGGGAGGAGGGAGGGGAGGAGGGAGGAGAAGAGCAGGCAGGGAGGGAGCAGGGAGGGGAGGAGGCAGGGAAGACGGCAGCACGTTTCGGCGGCAGTTCTGCTGAGCTGCCGCCCGCGCGCAGGCGGGCCGCGTACCGCTGAGCCCCTGGGAGGCTCGCCGGAGGTTGGCTGGCAGAGCCCAAAGACGCGGACTGCGACCGCTTGCGCCACTGCTGGGCGAGTCGGACTGCGACCCCACGGCGCTGCCGTGACTTACGAAGGCCATCTGGGGGGCAACGCTGGGGGGGGTACCCGCTCCAGGGGGAAACATGGACCTGGGATCGGCGATACATCGTCCGTAGATCTCCGATAGGCTCCGCGAAACCGCACATTCCCAGGTGGGGCGGGCGATCGGCCCCCATCGGCAATGAATGGGCGATCGGGGGTCGATGTACACTCCCCCCCGAGCCTGTGCCTCCCAGAGATTGCCCCTGGCCAGCTGGCGGACCCCGTCCAGGCGTCTCGACGGCGCCACGGCCAGGAGCGGAGTCACGGGCGCGGCCATCGAGGGCCGGGTGGCGAAGCTGGCCGCAAGGCGCTCACGGTGACAGCTCGAGCCTACGCAGGGGGGTACACCGCCCCCCATGCGCTCGGCGGCACCATGTCATCCCAGAAGGCTGGGGCAGGGTGCTTCATCCCGCCCAAAGTGCCTGCAACCGAGCGGGCTGCGAGCAGAACGGCAGCGCTGGCGGGCTATGAGAGCTGGCAGCTTGCAGCTGCTCCGCGCGAAATTCAGCGACCACAAGCGTGCCCCAGAAATGCTCCCGAGTGAAAAGCGGGGGTCGGCCTTTGTCGCGCCATTTGACCGTGGACAACATCTGACACGGCGGGACTCGCCCCATGTCACGCACGCGGCCTGATAAGGTGCGATCCCTCCCCTCGTAGGTAGCAGCACTGCGCAGGAGGTCACCAAGGGCAGCATTACGGTCAGATCTCCCTGATGACCAGATCGTCTGAACAGGTGTTCAATATGGGTATGCAATTGTATGTTGTCTTCCATAGAGCGACCAGAAAAGAAGAAGGATCACACGATGTCGGTGTTTGCAATGTTTAGGCATGAAGCATACTGAGGCTCGATGAAATATTCTGGCCCGTACGGCCGACTCGTCCCTGATCGGGGCCATGTCAGGAAAGAGGTGAGGCGGAAAGGCGTTTGGACATCATCGCCAGTAAGCTGGTAACCCACATGGGCCAACAACGCATTAGTCTCTGGTAGGGTGAAAGAGGCCCTGATGTGCAACAAATGCATACGGTGAAACCTGCTCCAAAGACTTGCGCGCTGGAATGGCAACTCTTCAACGACCGTATCCTGCCTTGCACTGGGAGCTGCGAGCATCCGTGAGCGCAGCTTGCCACTAGGCATCGCCGCGTAGCGCAAGGTAAAGAGCACACTACAACGATGATAGGGAGGAGTGAGGACGGAGGGGAGAAGGCGAAAGAGGGGAGCAGGCAACCTAGGTGCGCTTGCGCCATATCTGACATCCTACGCCTGCCGCCCATCCGCTCCTATTGGGCTGATAGCTGATCTCGAACTCCAAAAGACCCCTATCGGAGAAGGGCAGCTGCGTACATAGGATGAGAAGGTGGCGGATGAGCAGGCGGATGAACCTTTCCCCCACCCCCCAAACCCGCACTCCCCGCGGCAGTCCGCGGTTGATAGATCCTCTGGTGTGTTCTCGTCTGAACACAACGAGAGTTGCCGTGACGACACTGCGTGGGAAAATCTGTATGATGGCGGATGAGGATCGAGCAGGCGGATGAGCAGGAGGACAAGGACAATAAGGAAGGAGGAGGACGAGGACGAGGACGAACATCAGCAGCAACAGGAACTGGAATGGAAGGAGCGGAAGTGTAAGGAGGACCTGGGGAAGGCGGAGGAGGGGGAAGGAGGAGGCGATAACAATGAGGAAGGATTCGGTTTCAGAAAAGGGGCCCTCACTGGGGCGAGAGCGGCACTCTGAACGACGGGAGCAAAGCGCCGATCACAAAATAAGGCCCGCGCTGCAGCGGGCACCCCAGTTTGGAAGAACCGAGAACGTCAGAGCTGGAGAAAAACATCGGAAAACATCAGCCTGGCGAAGGACCCAACCATATGCAGTTGTGAGTACCGGCTGTGTGAGCAACGCATTCGGTGGGGCTCCCTGTGGGGCCACGAAGCGCTGTCCTGGGTGGGGGAGACGCATGCGAACGCCCCCATTGCGACCTTCGGTGGAGCTCCCTATGGGGCCACGAAGCGCTGTCCTGGGTGGGGGAGACGCATGCGAACCCCCCCACTGGGGCCTTCGGTGGAGCTCCCTATGGGGCCACGAAGCGCTGCCCTGGGTGGGGGAGACGCATGCGAACACCCCCGCTGCGGCCTTCGGTGGAGCTCCCTATGGGGCCACGAAACGCTGTCCTGGGTGGAGGAGACGCATGCGAACACCCCTACTGGGGCCTTCGGTGGAGCGCACAATGGGACCACGAAACGCTGTCCTGCGTGGGGGAGACGCATGCGAACACCCCCCGTGGGGCCTTCGGTGGAGCTCCCTACGGGGCCACGAAACGCTGCCCTGGGTGGGGGAGACGCATGCGAACACCTCCAGTGGGGCCTTCGGTGGAGCTCCCTATGGGGCCACGAAACGCTGCCATGGGTGGGGGAGACGCATGCGAACACCCTCAGTGGGGCCTTCGGTGGAGCTCCCTATGGGGCCACGAAACGCTGTCCTGGGTAGAAGAGACGCATGCGAACACCCCGATTGAAGCCTTCGGTGGAGCTCCCTATGGGGCCACGAAACGCTGCCATGGGTGGGGGAGACGCATGCGAACACCCTCAGTGGGGCCTTCGGTGGAGCTCCCTATGGGGCCACGAAACGCTGTCCTGGGTAGAAGAGACGCATGCGAACACCCCGATTGAAGCCTTCGGTGGAGCTCCCTATGGGGCCACAAAACGCTGTCCTGGGTGGGGGGGACGCATGCGAACACCCCGATTGAGGCCTTCGGTGGAGTCCCTATGGGGCCACGAAGCGCTGTCCTGGGTGGGGGAGACGCATGCGAACACCCCCACTGGGGCCTTCGGTGGAGCTCCTTATGGGGCCACGAAGCGCTGTCCTGGGTGGGGGAGACGCATGCGAACACCGCCACTGTGGCCTTAGGTGGGGCCCCCTGTGGGGCCACGAAACGTGTGAGGGGTGTGACGACATGGGCGGTGGGGACGATGATGGTGACGATGATGAGGAGGATGTGGATAAGGATGATGCTGCAGATGATGATGTTGATGGATGATGGGTGACGGTGATGATGGTGACGATGGTGTAGAGAGAGGGAGGGAATGATGATGATGATGATGCTGATGATGATGATGATGATGATGTTGCTGATGATGATGATGGTGATGATGATGATGATGATGATGACGATGATGATGATGATGATGATGATGATGATGATGATGATGATGATGGTGATGGGAGGGGAGGAGGAGGAGGAGGAGGAGGAGGAGGAGGAGGAGAGGAGAGGAACGCGGGGCGCTGTCTCTTCAAAACGAGGACCCAACACCACAGGATACAGGATGGTTGGGCAAAAGTGCACCATTATGTGTGTGTAAAAAAACATACACGCAGGGGGGTCATTATACTCCCCAGCCATCTTCGGAGAAGAGGGCAGAATAGTGTTCATAGTGAGCAAATGCAAAGGAGGTTGTTGCAGGGAGGGGAAGCGAGCACGAGGAGGGGCCCAGCAACGCCTCTCGGTCCCAGTGGTCGAAGTCCAAGCCTGGGGGGCAGAGGCAGCAACCGCACCCACCTCGCCACCTGTGCATCCTTCTCCTCCTCATTTGGACCTGCGTGGCGGCCAACTCCGCTGGACTCCCCGCGGTCTCGGGAAAGTTCGGCATCTCTTCCGGGGCACCCAGGAGTAAGCCCACAAGAGCGGCGAGACGCTGGCGAAGGAGACAAGATGAAGAAGGGGAAGAATACGAGAAAGAGAGAGAGGGAGATAGAGAGAGGGCAAGAGAGAGATAGAGAGAGAGGGAAAGAGAGAGAGAGAGAGAACGAGCGCAGATCTACAAGTATATTTATATACACTAGAACCACGCGCGCGTTCCGCGAGCGCTGAGGTTCTGGCCCAGCCCATGACACTGTGATGACACGAAGGTTGGGGTTTGCGGGCGACTCGCTGTGGGAGGATAGTTGCGACCGTCTTGGGCCAATTATGGGATGTCGCAGGGCGTGATTGGACTGGCTTTGGGGCTGTTTAGGCGCTGCCTTGGGGGGGGGGGGGGGCACAGGTGTCTTTGGTCCCAATCGTTGTCACGTTGCGCCGCAAGGCTTGGCTTGCGGGTGCATCGGGGAGATCGCTGAACAGCCTTGGGGCATTGACAGGCTTTCTGATGAAATGTCGAGGCCGTTTTTGATGGCCTCTGGATGTCGTCATATGTTCTTGGCCTGTCTGGCCGAGCACGTGCGGAAAGGGCGAGGAATGACGGAGGAAGGGACAACAACTGCCTTGACATAGAATGTACGCGCTGCCATGCCAGCTGGCGGAGCACATGCAGAAAGATCGGCCATGCACGTGCTGGCGGAGCACATGCTGGCGGAAGAGTGCCATAGGACGCAGGGCAAACTGTCTCGATACACCATGCACGCGCTGTCATGCGGGGTAGCGGGGCACTTGCAGGAAGATCGAGGAAAGACGGAGGACGGAGGGAACGCAGCCTTGATATTTAATGCATGCGCTGTCACGCCAGCTGGCGGAGCACGTGCAGAAACCCCTCCTTGTCGCACTGGCAGGGCCTCAGGTTCGATGGCTTGCCTTCATTACTAAAAAACTTTCGAGCCACCTCCAGGCGTCCTTCGTCAGTCTTTGAACCTCTTAAACAGAAGAACGCTGGAGATGCGTTCTTGAGTGTCTTTGAGGGCCGTGTTGGAACCCTCTTGGGGGCTTGCATGGTCATCTTGGAAGTCTCTTGGGGTCGCTTTGGGGCCGGTCTGGGGGCCTCTTGGACTGGCTTCGGGCCCTCTTAAGGCCGTACCGAGGCCGTCTTGGGCCCATTTTGCACCGTCTTGGAGCCGTCTTGCGCGGTCGGAAGCTAGGAAGAGCGAAAACACCAAAAATCCTTCAAACACCTCGAGACAATCAGTGTGTTTGGTCGGCCTCATCAAGGCCTCTTCGGGACGCCGTGCTGAGGCAATCCTGAGCGCGCTTGGTGCCCTTTCGGGCCGTCTTCGGTTGATTTTGACTCCTCTCAGGAGGTCTTGGGGGTACCTAGGCTGTCTTGGAGGCCTCCTGGGCCGCCTGGAGGCCTCTTGGAGGCCCGGAGAGGGGGTATCCAAAAAGGGGGCGAGATGGTAGCGAGGTGCCAGGCCCCCGGGCGAGGATCGAGGTCCGAAATTGTTTTGTCTTCGCGGGCTCTCGTCCTCGCCGCGGATGGACGCATCTCGAAGCGACCGTTCTTCCGGGGAGGTGCAGGACGAGGACGGGGAGGGAGATGAGGAAGCAGAAGCATCAATAGCAGTTGGAGCAGCCTTTGGGCCGCCTTGATGCCGTCTTTTCGGCATCTCGGGAATCTCTTTGGGCCCTCTTGAGTACACCACCGTCCGCCCTGAGGATGTGTTTGGAACTCGATACGTGGCGAAACACAAGAACCGGACGAAAATCTATGCATTGAGCGTCTCCAGCCATTCGTGGGTGTCCTCTGGGGGCCTTTTTGGGTCACTTCACGCCCTCTCGGGCCGTCCTGGGATCCATTTGGGGCGTCTTGGAGGGCTCTTAGGGCCCTCTTGGAGCTCTCTTGAATCCATTTGGGACCATCTGAGCCTTCTTAAGCCCGTCTTGGAGCGCCATTGGGCCGTCGTGGGACTGGCCGTCTAGGGCCGATTTCTGGTACATCGTGGGCTCTCTTGAGCGGGTTTCTTTATTCGCGGCGACAACGAGCGTTACGGGGAGAGAGGGGCGGGACTGGGGGGGGGCAGAACGTAACGCCCTCCCCCCCCGCCGCGCGGATCCGGCGCCACAACAGCGTCCGCAGGCACGACGACGACAACGACGACGACGATGACGACGACGACGACGACATGCGACCGACGACGACGACGAGCGACCGACGACGACGACGACAACGACGACTACAACGACGACAACGACGAAAACGACGACGACGACCAGCGACCACGACGACGACGACGACGACGACGAGAGACGACAATGACGACGAGCGACGACGACGACGACGACGACGACGACGACGACGACGAGCGACGACGGCGACGGCAGCGACGACGACGATGACGATGACGACGACGACGACGACGACGACGACGACGAGCGACGACAACAACGACGACGAGCGACGACGACGACGACGACGACGACGAGCGACGACGACGACGATGACGACGAGCGACAACGACGACGACGACGGCGACCACGACGACGACGACGACGACGACGACGAGCGACGCCTCAAGAGGTCTCCGGGGGTTTCCCGAGGCGTCCGGAAGCCTCCTGAGGCCTCTGGAACCCTCCAGAGGCCCTCGAAAGCATTCGAAGGCGTTTGACAACGACGAGCGACCGCGAGCGATGACGACCGACAACGACGACGACGAAGATGACGACGACGACAACGACGACGACGATGACGACGACGAGCGACAACGACGAGAACGACGAGGACAACGACGACGACCGACAACGAAGAGCGACGACGACGACGACGACGACGACGACGACGAGGACGACTACGACGACGAGCGACGACGACGACGAGCGACGACGACGACGAGCGACAACGACGACGACGATGACGACGCGCGACGACGACGACGACGACGACGACGACGACGGCGACCACGACGACGACGACGACGACGACGAGCGACGCCTCAAGAGGTCTCCGGAGGTTTCCCGAGGCGTCCGGAAGCCTCCTGAGGCCTCTGGAACCCTCCAGAGGCCCTCGAAAGCATTCGAAGGCGTTTGACAACGACGAGCGACCGCGAGCGATGACGACCGACGACAACGACGACGACGAAGATGACGACGACTACGACGACAACGACGACGACGATGACGACGACGAGCGACAACGACGACAACGACGAGGACAACGACGACGACCGACAACGAAGAGCGACGACGACAACGACGACGAGGACGACGACGACGACGACGACGACGACGACCAACAATGAAGAGCGACGAGAAGTTATTGCGTGCACATGCCTGCGAAGGATTCGTTGCCTCCACGTGGCATATGAGAGGTATGCTCCTTACCTCCCTCCTCCATCCTGGTCGGCGTCGTCGTTGTCGTCGTCCTCCGCCTCCTATTGCTATCAGTCCTACGAACACCAAAATTCCTGAGAGCACCGCAACTTGCCCGCGACCACTGCCCCTAAGCGGATCTCTATGGGGATCCCTATGAGGACCCCTCTGGGGATCCCTATGCGAATCCCTAGGCGGATGCCTATGCGGATGCCTATGCGGATGCCTCTGCGGATGCCTATGCGAATTACCATGCGGATCCCCGTGTGGATCCATATGCGGAATCCTATGCGGATCCCTATGCGGATGCCTCTGGGTATCCCTATGCGGATCCCCAGTCGGATCCCTATGCGGATCCGTATGCAGATCCCTATGCGGATCTCTATAAGGGTCCCTGAGAATCCCAATGCGGATCCCTGTGCGGATCCCGATGGATATCTCTATGGGATCCCCACGCAGAACCCTTATGCGGATTTCTGTGAGGATGCATATGCGGATCCCTATTCGGGTTTCTATGCGGATCCCTATGCGCACGGCGGCAGTGCCGGAGGCGCACTGGTGGCCAGAGCGTTAGGAGGGGGAGAGCGGAGGGTTCATAACGCGCGCTATGGCCCTAACAATACAGAAACACGCTCCTTGGCCCGTCGGAAACATGAAAAAGCCAGAGCACGGAAAACCTTACAAACCTCAGGGCATAATTTTGTTTCGCCTCATGAGGGCCTCGTGGGACTCGTTTTGAAGGCCTCTTGGCCGTCTTGAGGCCCTCTTGGGCTGTCTTGAAGACATGTTGGGCCATCTTGGAACGCCCTTGGGCGGTCTCGGGCTCTCTTGGAGCGCATATGGGCCGTCTTGAGCCCTCTTGGACGTCTCTTGGGCCCTCTTGTCGACCCTCTTCCCCTCCTTTGACACGTTTTGGCGCTCCCCGACGGGTCCAAAACGGCCGTGTACAAAATCAGTGCTCCGCAGGGCCCCTGGGATCCCATCTTCATTTACTCCCCAATCAGAGCTTGCCTCTGTAGGGGTCCTAGCGGATTCATGTAGTTCGGTGAGGGGTTGGCGTCGATTTCGGCGGCACGCCCGGGTGCCTGGGTGCCTGGTAGCCCTATAGCCCTATAGCCCTATAGCCTTACAGCCTTATAGCCTTATAGCACTATAGCCTTATAGCCCTACAGGCCTATAGCCCTATAGCCCTATAGCCCTAATAGCCCTATAGCCCTACAGCCTTATCGCCTTAGATCCTAGATTCACAACATGACACATATGTTATAGTTACGTGTACACGCACACACACATACATACGTAGCCCCCCGCAGTTGCGGATAAGAGTGAGGGGGTGGCTGGGACGTCGGCAGTCTGCGAGGCTCTGAAGAAGCCCGCCGCAGGCGCCAAAGTGACAATGTCCTCCATCCTTCCCATGCCTAGTGGCAGAAAGGAGCCTTTGTTTTCTGTGGTGAGTGCGGCAGGTCTGCTGAGGGCCCTCCGAAGCTCTTGGCTCCGGAGTGCGAATGTATCGCCCA